AAGGAACAACGTGATGGTTCTGGATTTTACTGAGGGGAAGGATCAGGAGAGAAAATCTTTTGTCCAAAGGTAAATCTGGCATTTTCTCCTTGATGGAAATGGATTTTATCTGCAGGAGCTCCGTGGGAAGCAGTGGCCTGAGCACTGAGATGGCCATGCAGGGGCCAGATTCACCAGCAGAGCTGAGCATCCCAACTGCTGGTCCTGCCCTTTATTTTGGGGGTGATTTGGCTGATCCTTTAGGTGGATCCCCACCTCTCCACTGGCACCCCCAGTGTCCCCTCCTCAGCAGGGACCTGGGGTGGGCTCAATGGGCTCCAAGATCTTTTCCAGCCTCGTTAATTCTGACTCCGTGTCTGGATCAGGCACATTCCCCATGCCGGGGTCAAGGCAGCCCCACAGGCTGAGCACAGGAGAGCCTGCTGAAGGACCAGCATCATCTGGCTCCCAGCCCATCCTCCCCTTCCTTCCCAAGGCGTTTTCACGGCTGCAGCCAAGCCCTGGCCGCTGCAGGACAGCAGGCAGGAGCCTTTGGCCACGCTGCTGATGAGAAACCCATATCCCGTGGCCCTGGAGTTCCCACCCTTCCTCCCCGGCCACCCCTGGGACACAGCCTGGAGGGGAAATCCTCCCCCTCACCCTCACCACCCCTTGGAGCCAGCCAGGTCACCCTGGATCCCTGCTGCAGTGGGCTTTGGGGTGCAGGCTCCTGGAGAGCCCCCTCCTTGTCCCCATATCCCAGCAGAGGTTTCCTTCACCTCGCTCTGTGCCCCCAGCCCGGCCCCATCCCATCCCAGCCTCTCCCTCAGCCTCCAGTGCTTCCAGCAGAATTCCTTCCTGGCCAGTCACTGCCTCAGCCTTCAGCCTCAAGCCTGGGCTTCCTCTTCCCGAGCCCCCGAGCTGGGAATCGGCCCTTCCTGGGCTCTGCCAGCCGTGCCCACCAGGAATGCCCAATGGGAATGCCCACCAGGAATGCCCAGCTCTCCTCCCTCCCCACTGCAGCTGCATCCCACCCCAGCCAGGGTTCTGAGGATTTCCAGCCTCAGGGACCCTGCAGGGGATGGGGTGGGGAACTGCTGGCTGCCAGCCAGTGGTGGGAAGCGGTGGGAAGTGGTGGGAAGCGGTGGGAAGTGGTGGGAAGTGGTGGGAAGTGGTGGGAAGTGGTGGGAAGCAGTGGGAAGCGGTGGGAAGTGGTGGGAAGCGGTGGGAAGCGGTGGGGAGCAGTGGAAAGCAGTGGGAAGTGGTGGGAAGTGGTGGGAAGTGGTGGGAAGTGGTGGGAAGCAGTGGGGAGCAGGGGGAAGCGGTGGGAAGTGGGGGGAAGCAGTGGGGAGTTCAGCCCCATGGAGGTGTGAAGATTCCTGCCAGCATCATCTGCACTGCTCCCCCAGCATCCACCTGACATCCAGCATTCCAGGGGCTGGATCCATCCCATGGTGGCACCCACATCTCCCTACACGTTCCAGGGGCTGGATCCCATGCTGGCACCCCCCTTGCTGTAGGTGCCAGCTGTCAGTCCCTGCATCACCCCTGGCACCCCCCAAACTCAATTTCCCACGGTGGCACTGCCTCTCCTTATTCATTTCAGGGTGAAGGCTTCGCTTTTCCACAGTCCCCTTCACCTGTGGCTCTCCCAGCATTGTGTAAATATTAATTACTGGCAGTTAATTAAGCCAGGCATGCCCATCTTCCTGTGGAGATGCTGTGTCACAAACGTGGATAATGATCCAAACCCCACCCGGAGCAGCTTCTCCCTGACAGACCTTCCTGGAGGGCCAATGGGCTGGGAGGGGGAAATGGGTGGGAAAAGGGCATCACCTGCTCTGGTCCCAGGAAGGAAGGAAGGATGGATCTTTAAAAATGCCTCTGGGTGCTTATGGAAAGCTGTTCCTGGTTTGCTGTTGCTCGGGTATGTGGGGCTGTGGGGTCTGGGGCTGCCTGGAAGCCAAGCTGCTGCTGGAGCTTGTTCTGGGCCCCCGTGGGGGTTGTGGCCTGTTATTTGTGCTGGTGGTGAGCAGCAAACCATCCAAGGCAGATGGAAATCATCCCCTGTTATCCTTCCACTCCTGAAGTGCTCAAAGTGTTCCAGAGGTTTGGATTTCCCCACCCTGCTGCTGGTGAAGGGCTGTGCAGGAAGAGCACAGGAAAACAAACAAGGTCGCTGACCCTCCCGAACCGAAGGAGGGGGATTGCCCAGGGATGCACAGGGGGAATTGCAGATTGTGGGCTTGGAGCAGCCCTTGGGCAGGGTCCTTGCACCCTCCTGGGGTACAGAGCTGCTCTGCACAGCCCTGGGGGCTGTTTGGGGGTGTTTGGAGACTGTCCCCCTGGCCAGGTCACACTCTGGCTGTGCACGGCCACCGCTGCCTGACCCCGGGGCAGCAATCCCTGACCGGAGGTGCCACCTTAATCCGGATCAGTGGGAAATCTGTCGAGTGCCCACGCAGCCCCATGGCAGTTCCCTGCCTGCCTGCCCCCACAGCCCATCAGGGACCCACCAGGACACGGGCACAGCCCCACAGGAGCCTGGCCCTGGGCGTGTTTTGCACTGAGAGTGGAGCACAAATGCATGAATTGTTGGCCCAAACCAGCTCTGAGCAAAACAGGAGCAAGCTAGGGGCAGATTATGGCATTCCTTGGGCAGCTCCCACCCCCTCTCCACGCCTGCTGCAGCCCAGCCTGCGAGGCCACTAATGCTACTTACATTATTAGTGGATTATTTGGGTGTAATGAGCTTTGCCCCGCTCAGCTGGCCCTGTGCTCGGGGCTGTGGGATGTGTAATACTTCCTGCACGGGGCCACCAGGCGGGCAGCTGCTGCCTGGAACACAGGCACACAATGCTGCAATGTTCCCGGCCAAAATTCCAGCCCGGCCTGGAGGTTAAGCACAAATCAGGGAGCTTTGGGTAGCGCTGAACACAGAGGGAGGGTGAGGCTGCCCTGAGCCAGCAGTGACTGCCTCAGATCCAGCTCTGCCCGTGCTGGAGCACAGCTAAAAGCATCTTTCCCATCATCAGCTCTTTTTCCTCTGCCTTCCTCCCATCAGACCAAGGCAAGGGCTTGGTGATGTGTTGCTATGGACACCAGGAAGTTTTCCCTGGAGACCAGGAGCCCGCACTAAGTGATGCCTGCGTGTTCCGACATAGATTATTATTATTTTTATCCTCCCCCTTTCTTTATTGTGAATGTTTAAGTGTGGGTGAATCCCTGGCTTTCCCCCTTGCCTCTGTCCTGCTTTTCTCTCCCAGCTCTGTGGATTTCCATGGCTGTGTCCCAGGGCTTGGCTTCATTCTGGGCCAGGGTGTGAGCAGTGGGTGCGTGGGAGGAAGTTTCAGCTCTGTAACTCTTGCTCTGCTGGAGACCCCTGCAGAGAAGATCCCTGATTTATTCCAGCCCTAGGAAATCCTCTTGGTCCCCTCAGGCAGCTGCAGAGCTCCTGGGCACCCATCACCACCAGTAACCATCACAGGAGGTGCTGGACTCCTGCTCCCAGGGCCGGTGTCCCTTGGGTGGGGGTTCCCTTCCTTTTGTTTGGGACCTCAGAGGAATTTAGGTCGAGACTAATTAGTCTCTGCTGGGCTAGCTCCAGGCCTGACTCCCATTTTGTCACTCCTCTGCTGGCACTTGGCATCCCTTAGTGCCTCAGATACCTCTGAGAGCTCTTGGCTTGCGGGGAGGGGAAGTCCCAGCAGCTCTTGGAAGTTCTTGGAAGTCAAGGCTGGAGTCTGAGCTCTGCACTCAGAGCTTCCCTCGCAGCCCATTCCCAGCGGCTCCAGGAGGTTCAGCCCATTTCCCGGAGGGAAGCAGCTCTGTGTCTCTGGGCACTTGGCACAGGGAATGGGATTTTACTGTGACACAGTCTCAATGTCATTTTGACTTCTCCTGCTTGGCTTTTGAAGCTGATAATGGGCTGTTTCTGTTCCCTGTCACTTGATCTGCCCCTCGGTGAGCGAGGAGCCTCTGATGAGTGATCTCCTCTGTCCTGTGCCCCTTCTTCCCTGCTCTGGAGGGACTTCACAGGCTGCCTTTCAATCAGCTGCTTCTCTTGTTCCTGGGAATGCAGTTCAGCACCAGGTCAGAAAAGCTCTGGCCCACTGAAATCCTCCGTTTTGCTGCTCGAGCTGCCCAGATTGTGACTCCCTTTCAGAAATCTTACAGCAAATATATCCTGCAGTGGTGGTGTGTTGTCAGCCTGGCTGGAGCTCCTGCACAGCCCAGGCACTCCCAGGTGCTCCAGGGAAAGCAGGAGCTGCTCTGTTCTCTCCTCGTGTTTGGGAATTGCCTTGAGACAGTGGAGGGATTCACAGGGAGCAGGAGGGCTTTACCCTGGGTGATGCTCCCAGAGGGGGTGAGGAATGGAGGTGAACCCCAGCAGGAGAAATCCAGCTCTTTTTGCCCTCCCCTGCAGCCCCTGGCTCCTTTGAGAGGCTCCACGCTGCGGAAGGAGCCGTGGGACTGGGCTGCCGCTCCTTGCTGAGGAGGTGACAGTCCCAGCAGGGCTGAGTGCTCCATTGCTCTGATGTTTGAAAGCTCCTTGACAAATGACTTCTTCCTCAAGCTCCTAAGCAAACAAGTGGAAGCTCCAAAAAAACAGCAGTTCCTTCCCGTGCTGCTGCCAAGCCAGAGCTTGCTGGGCTGTGGGAGAGGGTGAGCAGCCCCCAGGGCTGAGCACAGCACTGCTCCTTGCAGTGTCCCATTTTTGGGACAGGAGAGCATCTGGGCAGCTCTGGGATGATGCTGTGACCTGCTTGTCCGTGCAGGGACAGGCTGACCTGTGCAGAGTTTGGGACTGCAGACCCGTGAGCCTCTTTTGTGGGGCAGGGAAATCCCAGATCCAGAGAGGGCTGGGCTCCCATCTCAGAGCCTCAGGTGCTGTCCCTTGCCCTTAGTGCTGGCCTGATGTCCCATGGCCACCACAGCCACCAGACTGAGCTCGGTGCAGTGACACCAAATCCTAACAGACCCTTCCCCTCTCTCCTTTTGCTCTCCCTCCTTTCTGCCAGCAGTTCCCTATCAGCAAAACCCCTACACCCCTGGGAGCAGCTCCTCTGCCATCCAGTGCTATCGCTGCGGGGACACCTGCAAGGGCGAGGTCGTGCGTGTGCAGAGCAACCACTTCCACATCCGCTGCTTCACCTGCCAAGGTAGGATAAGGATCCCCAAAAAGCTGATGGTTGGCTGTCCCACAGCCCTGGGGGCAAAGCAAAAGGCTGGCCCTGTGAGCTGTGGTCACACTGCTGGAGTGGCAGCTGCAGGGGGATGTGGTGGAGCTCAGGGCAGAGCCCCTGAGTGATGCCAGAGCCAGTGAAGGGGTGTCCAGTGTCACTACCCTGGAGCAGCCTGCAGGTCCCAAACGTGCCCATCTGTGTCTGGGGGGGTCACTGTGCCCTCCAGCTGCTCCCGAAGCAGGGGGAGGAGAAGGAGGACGAGGCACTGCCAGCCTGGCTGAGAGCAGAGAGGTGGGGACATGCCCAGAGCAGCTCCTTCTGGAGCTGGGGCTGGGTGACACATCCCTGCCACCTGCCCATGGGATGCAGCTGGGACTTGGTGGCCCCCGGGGCTGGCAGGAGTGGAGCAGAGAGGTTGTTTGGATGTTCCTGGAGCACCAGAGGAGGGCTGCAGGGCTGTAAAGCTCATGGTGCAGAGCTGCTGCTGAAGGGCTCCTCAGCTTCTTTATTGGAGCAGCTGCTCTCAACCAGCTTCTGCAGGCTGTAAAATTCCCCATTCCAGGGCTTTTTAAAGGCCTCTGGTCTTCCAAGCTCCCCGTGCTAAGCATAATCCCCAGCCCCTGGTCACACTTTGCTCCTTGCCAGGGAACAGAGGGTTTGGCTGGAGGTGACACTTCCTGGGTTGTCCCCACCCTGCTGCAGCCCTGTCCCCTATGGGGTGGGCAGCCCCAGGATTTTTGGAAGGGGGATCTGTCCCGGGATGCCCTCGGGGCTGAGCTGCACCTGCAGGGCCCCGTGCTGAGCCTCCTGCCCTTTCCCAGCTCAGCCGTGGAGGATCCAGCAGGAGCCGAGCGTGCAGACAAAGAGCTCAGACAGCCGCCAGCTTCAAAGGGCCCGGGAGCCAGCAGGGAGAGCCTGGCAGCGCTCACTGCCCGATTTCCAAGTGAAAGGGAATAAATAATGAGAGGAAATCCTCCTGTCTCACCTTCCCTCGCAGCTCTCACCTCCTGCCACCTCTGGCTGGCTCCAGCCCCGCTGCCTGTCCCTGACGTGTCCCCGGGAGCTGGCACAGGAGTGAAGCCATGGGATGTGCTGTTCCCACAGCACAGGGCACACAGCAGACTCATTTTATCTTGGATTTGCTTCCTGATGCTGTCCCCGAGCTGCTGGCCTGGCCCTGGTTGCTGACAGGATGTTTGGGAGACCCAAATTGCCCCTGCTGGGTACCCCCAGCTCGGCCAAGGGATGCTCACAGGACAGGAGCTGCATCTCTGCCCACAAGGGCCCTGCAGCAGCGGGTGCAGCTGTCCCCTGTCACTGGGGCTGGCCCACAGCTGCAGGGACAGCACAGAGGGGGCTGAAGGACAAAGCAGAGACCACGGTGGGCTGTGGCAGCAGGTCGCTCTGTATCCCCTCTGCACGCTGTCACCTCGCAGGGCAGGGGATCCCACAGGAGCATCCACGGCCGGGATCTGCTGCTCTCCAGGTCCCTCTGGCTGGAGAAGCGTGGGAGGGAGGGAGATGATGCTGAGGCCAGGGCTGGCCACGTCTGCCTGGATTACTGTGATGGGCTGTGCACCACCCACACTTCCCACAGCAGGGAAGGGAGCGAGGCTGGGCTGGACACCTCTGGAAAAACAAGCAGGGAGAGCTCCAAGCCCAGTGCTCCCGGGAGCTGTTCCTGTCAGGGCACGGCTCCGTGTCCGGGGCTTGGAGACCATCAGAGGCAGCCGTGTCCCAGGGCAGGGATGAGATCTCACCCCAGCTGTCCCTAGGGCGCTCCCAGCTCTTTGCCACCCCTGTCCCCATCTTCCTGACACCACCGGGGTGCCAAGCGGAGGGGCTGAGCCCCGGGCAGGTGCAGCAGCTCCAGGAGGGGATGCCCGAGCTGTCGGTGCGTGCTGCAGGAGCGCTGCAGTGCAGGGGTTCCCTCCCGGCAATGGGATTCCCTGCGGGAGCCGCCCCATCCCACAGCCCAACACTGACATCTTGTGGTGCCGGGGGAGGCCCCGGAGCTCGGCTGGCACGGGAAACCCTCGGAGATTCCTGCAGGAAGCTGGAGAGGCGGCAGAGCTGGCCCAGGCATCCCGGACCTGCCGCGATGGCCGCATGTCCTTCTCCCCAGTGTGCGGCTGCGACCTGGCCCAGTCGGGCTTCTTCTTCAAGAACCAGGAGTACATCTGCACCCACGACTACCAGCAGCTCTACGGGACCCGCTGTGACAGCTGTGGGGACTTCATCACCGGCGAGGTCATCTCTGCCCTGGGCAGGACCTACCACCCCAAGTGCTTCGTCTGCAGCACCTGCAGGTGAGTGGAAGCTGTCACCAAGGGTCGGTGTCCCCCTTGGAGATGCCTTTTCCTGGAGCTCCCTGCTGGCCCCGGGAGAGGAGGAGGGCACTGTGTGGAGGGGGATGAGCAGCTGACCCCTCCCCACCTCTCCTTGGCCGCAGGAAGCCGTTCCCCATCGGAGACAAGGTGACGTTCAGCGGCAAGGACTGCGTCTGCCAAAACTGCTCCCACTCCCTCCTCAGCACCAAGCCCATCAAGATCCACGGGCCCAGCCGTAAGTTTGAGCGCCGTGCTGTGCTGGGTACAAAGAGAGGGACCTTGGAGAGGGTGGCAGGACAGGCTTTGGGGCCACTGAGCAGCCCTGCAGAGCCACGGAGGTTTAGGAGGAGGGATGGGGCAGTCCTGAGGCTCCAGCCAGGACTGCAGCTCACCGCTGCTTCTGTAAACTCCCCTGGCCTGTCTGTGACCTGGGCAGGTGCCACCACCCTTGCAGGTGCTGTCTGAGCTCATGGGCAGGTTCTGGGGCTGGCTTTGCTCGCAGTCAGTTGCCTTGTGTCCAGTGGCTGCCCTGGGGATACTCCTGGGACAGTCACAGCACTGAAAGGTTGTTTTCTGCTAATCCCCGTGCCCTGGGAGCCCCTCAAAGTCAGCTGGAGCGATGGACAAGCTCTTTTGGGTGGGTTTGGCCTTGCTTTTGAGCCCAGGTTGGGAGGACCTTCCCTTCCTGCCATGGAGGTCAGTGCCTGACGCAGAGTCCTGGGTGTCGCCATGGTCCTTGTCACCCAGTCACCATGGGGACACTGCTGGTGGCAGGGTTGGTGCTGATGAACCCCCTGTGAGCCCCCCTTCAGCCCTCAATGGTGTCAGGGTTGGACTGAGCCCAAGGACAGGAATTCCCCCATCTTCCTCCATGGGCTCCTGGAGCTGCCCAGAGCCAAGCTCTGCCTCCCTCCCACCTTCCTCTCCCTCCCCATCCCTTCCCGGCGCTCCTCCGGCCCTGGAGCGGGGTTACCTGAGGACACCATGCCTTATTCATGGCAGCTGCAGACAGAATGAGAATGAGCATGAGAATGAGAATGAGAATGAGAATGAGAATGAGCCTGCCCCACCCGCACGCGTCCCTCACCGCCCCGGTGGCCCTGGCACTGCCACCAGCAGGGTGACAGGGGAGCTGTGCGCGCTGCTGGTGCATTCCATAGGGAAAGCATCCCTAGGAGGAGGATGCCGAGCCTCTCCCTGCAGCCCCAGCCCTGCAAACAACCCCAAACCAGCAGGACCTGAAGGAGGGAGCGGATCCTGCTTTTTTTGCAGGGCTCAGAAATCCTCCCCCCGTTAGGCGGGATTTGGGATGGGCTGTCTGCCCCTGCTTCCCCCGCGGCAGGGAGGGGGTTAAAGAAGCCCCTCTCCAGGCAGACCTGCTGCCCAGGGGAGGAGAGGACAAGGAGGAGTCAAGGTCAGGGGTCCGAGGACCGTGTGCTTCCTGCTCGCAGCCGTGCTGGAGCCGGGGGAGCAGGGGAGGAAGGGGAAATAGCGCAGCGGGGCCGGACGCGGCTGCCGGACAGCACAGCCCTTCCTCTGCCGGACACTTCCCACCCTTGGGCACCTGCCAGGGCAGCGTGGCCCTCCCACAGCCCATCACAGCATCGCGGAATGAACCAGCCTGGAAAAGACCTTTGAGATCATCGTGTCCAACCCGTGACCCGACACCTCCTCGTCAACTAAACCATGTCCAGGCTTCGTTAAACGCATCCAGGGACGGTGACTCCACCACCTCCCTGGGCAGATTCCAGTGCCCAATCATTCTTTGAGATAGGAATTTTTCCTGGTGTCCAACTGGCCTGGCTCACCCCAAGGGAGATGCAGCTCTGTGCTGCGGCTGGGTGCCACCTCAGGGGTCCCAGCTTTCCTCCTGTGCTGGGGACAAGCAGAGGTGACAGATTCCCATCATGAAACGATCCCCACGAGGCTGCCTCGGGAGCAGGGTGTTTGTGTCAGCATCATCCCTGGAAAAGTCCTCCGGGACAGGGTTTTCCTCTGGGTGTGAGGGGAGTGCCGGGTGACACAGCAGCTGTGGCTGTCCCTGCCGTGCCCCACGTCCCCTCCTGTCCCCCCAGACTGCGCCGGCTGCAAGGAGGAGATCAAGCAGGGCCAGTCGCTGCTGGCCCTGGAGAAGCAGTGGCACGTCAGCTGCTTCAAGTGCCAAACGTGCGGGATCATCCTGACCGGCGAGTACATCAGCAAGTGAGTGCCGGCACTCCCGGGCTGGCCCCGGGGCTGGGCGGGTGGCGAGGGGCTCTCCTGCCACTCACCCCCTCTGTCCCTCTCCCAAGGGATGGCATCCCGTACTGCGAGTCCGACTACCACGCCCAGTTCGGCATCAAGTGCGAGACCTGTGACCGCTACATCAGTGGCCGTGTGCTGGAGGTGAGTCCGTGACAGGGACGTGCCCTGGGGAGGTGCCACCTTCCAAATCTGGGGGCCGTGGCTCGTCCTGCAGCAGCTCTGTCACAGCCTGACCGCCTTCTGGAGAGGGTGGGAGAGGTGGAAACACCGCCGGACCTTGGATACTGGAGCTCGGGAACCAACCAGAGTCACAGCGGTCTGGAGGTGTGGGAACATCAGCCCCAAGCAGCTGCTGGGCTCTGGGTGTCCCCACACACATCCCTGTGCCGGCAGCCTGCCTGTAGCCTTGGAAACGCATCCCGAGGGGCTGCAGCAGCTTTCCCTGGGCTCTGCTCCCCCTGGAACACCCCCTGACACCGGAGCAGGGGGTCCCCTTCGCTGGGGGAGGCTTTGCTGGGCACAGGAGCTGCTGTGGCAGAGCCAGGGAGGGATGCAGGGATTCCCCAGGGATCCCCCTGCGGATGCAGGTGGTTTTGGGACGTGTTTTGGGCAGTGGTGGGGCTGCACAGCTGGGGAGGGATGGCTTTGGGGAAGGACAGAGGGGTCCATCAGAAGGGTCCTTCCCATCTGGAAGTGATGTGTCCTCTCATGCTTTCCAGTCTAAGGGTAATTTAAAGGCTCAGGAGGCACAGAGAAGGAAGCCTGGTGTGATTTTTAGACCCTGTGATGGCACAGAGAGGCAGCAGTGCTGGAATTGTGCTCTGTCACTCCTGAGATTTCCCTTTCCACATGGCTGAGCAGGAGGAAAGGGCTCCCACACCTCTGCCAGCCCCAGGTTGCAGTGACAGGAAAAACCAGAGGTACCAGGGCTCTGCAGGTGCTGTGGGCTGGGGTGGCAGTGGCTGTGTGAGTCTCCAGCCTGCTGAGAGTTGTCCCAGGATGTCTCCAGCCTGTTTCACTCACAGCCCCCAAGAAGGGCTCACTCTCCCTGTTCCTGCCTGGGAGCTCCAGCCTGCCCAAGGAACCTCTCCTGAAGCTGGAACAAATTTCCAGAAGCCTCCCAGCACCTCTGCCCAGCCTGGGGGGGCTGTGTGTGCCTGGGAAGGCTTTCTGCTGACTCCAGGTTCCAGCAGCAGCCCCAGCCCTGCTGGGAGCATGAGCTCAGCACTGCAGCAGCTGCCCCAGGCCGGCTGCCCAGCACGAGCTCAGCGGGTCAGCAAATCTGAACGGAGCAGGACAAAGCCCTGACATCAAATCCCTGCTGCCCTGGGCAGTGCCAGCCCCCAGGAGCTGTGTGCCAGGACAGAACATCCCCAGGCACCCCTGGGTGTGGCAGGGTGCTGTTACCCGGTGTCAGGGGGCAGGAGAGGAGCCAGAGGGGACCTGGGATTCCTGCTGTGAAATCATGGAATGGGTTGGGTTGGAAAAGACCTGAAAGATCATCTCATTCCACCACACCTTCCACTGTCCCAGGTTGCTCCAAGCCCCATCCAGCCTGGCCTGGGACACCTCCAGGGATGGAAGCCTGAGCTGCTCACCCTCCCTGGGATGTGCCTGCTCCCAGTGCTGAACCATCTGTGAATCCAGGGGCTTGAATTGTCCTCTCTGTCCAAGTGTGAAATGGAAAGGGCGCCTTTAAATAATTTTAGGCATTCAGGAGCCTCCTGGTGTTCTCCTGGCAGCCTCCAGGCATTCCCAACTGCTCCAGGCTGCCCAGCCAGGCTTGGATGATTAATGAGTCTTTAAGGGACCCAAGTGATAAGGAGCAGGTCCCTTCCCTCCCAGCTCCACCAGCCTTGTAACAGCTGGAATAACAACCAGAATAAAAGGAACAAGGCTTGTGCATGGTTTGGAGGAGTTCTGGGTGTTGAGATATTGGGTGGCTTTTGGAGAAGGTGTGTGATGAAATGAAAGTTGGGAATGGGCTGGGACATTCCTGGGGGAGCAGCCAGCCTCCCTCCACATGGAACAATTTGGGTTGGCACAGGATGTCCCTCCCTGCACTGTAAGGAAAGGAAGAATGGTCCAAACCCTCCAAACTCATCCTCCTGCCTGTCCTAAAACCTTCCACTCATTTTGGCATAAACTGGAGGGACTGACTGCCATCTGCACCCCACAGACACTGAATTCCAGGCTGATTTTACAGGCAGCCCACGGGCAGGTTCTGTTACCCCTGCAGCAAATTTCCCATTTATCCTCCTGTTTCCAGCCCCCTCTATCACAACCCTCTTCTTCATAAGCAAAAGCCTCATCTTCCCTGTGCCACCTTCAGTTATTCTCCTTCTCTCAGTTTATTACAGGAGCAAAAAGTTCTTTAGGGTTGAGCTGTAACATCTCAGATTCCTCCTGCCCTGAGCTGGCTCCCGGCTCCCAGCCCACACCTGAACTGCTGACAGACACTTGGAGCTCCCAATTTCGGCTGTTAGCCCTGTCAAAAGAGCCAAAGGAGCAGCCCAGCTTCCTCTCAGCTGGGGCAGAGCACTGAAATTGGAGCAGAGAAGGAGGAAAGTTCCTTTAGGGAGAGGAACTGGCAGTGATGGACAGGGAGGTCTTTGGGGTCCTTCTCCCTTTGCTGCTTCCCTGCTGTGACATCAAATTTGCTGTTTTTCTTCAAATCTATGGGGAAAGAGCCTGGAGATGGTGCTGGCCATTCCCAGAGTGTCAGCTTTGTAGGGACACCATTCCCAGGGCTTTGGGACCTCCTGGCTCTGTTTGGTGCTGGGCGTTTCAAGGAGAGCAGAAGGAGAGAGAACTCGTAGCCGGTTGCAAACAGGGATGAAGCGCTCTCTGCTTTTCTCCATGGGATGTGGAGGTTCCCAAGGCCACCCCAGTCAGTTTGTTCACCTGTCTGCAGCAGAGAGGGCTGGCAGGGTCCCTCAGGGATGGGGACAGGTGACCCTGTCCTGCCGTGCTCAGGGGCTCCTCTCTGCTCGCCCGTGCAGGCAGGAGGGAAGCACTACCACCCCACCTGTGCCAGATGTGTGCGCTGCCACCAGATGTTCACAGAGGGAGAGGAGATGTACCTGACAGGTAGGGCTGGGACCAGCTGGGGGGAGTTTGGGGTTGGGTCCTTGTGGCTCTGTGTGTGCAGCAGTGCCAGAGGTCCCTGTCTGCGCTGCTCTCCGAGTCCTGTGTGCAAAAGTCTCCATGGAACCTTCCCTGCCACGCCGCTGGGAACTTCTTGTCTCCCTGCACACCTGGGCCAAGCTCTGCTCACTGCAGCCCAAAGGATGGAGCTGTTGTGGTGCCCCAAGTGTCACCCCAGTTTAACCAGCAGGAGCTGGTTGGGCCAGCCCAAATCCCGAGTTTGCTGTCCCAGCTGAGGTTTGGCCCCTGTCCTCAGTGCTCTGGAGCTGTTCCATCCCTTCTCAGGGTCACCCAGTCCCCACTGCCCTGCAGTTCCCCTGGCACTGCTGGAGGTGGCAGGGACATGGCAGGGGAGTTTCAGCCCGTGTGTGGGGCTGAAATGCTGTCCCTTTGCTGCCTTGCAGGCTCTGAAGTGTGGCACCCCATCTGCAAGCAGGCAGCCAGAGCAGAGAAGAAGCTGAAGGTAGGCAGCAGGGTGAGGGGTGTCCTGAGAGGTGGCACCTCCCACGTTCCATTGTCCTCGAGTCCCTGAACTGCTTTGGCACTGCCCACACCTGGAGTGGCTTCCTGAGGCTGCCCAGAGGATGATGGGTGGCCGTGGCTGAGGCTGTGGAAGTGAAATTCAGCCCCCAAACCAAGAGTTTGCCTGCTCAGGGGTCCCTCCTTGCCGTGCTCTCACCTGCCCTCCCCCTTTGTGCCTCCACAGCACAGAAGAACGTCAGAAACCTCCATCTCCCCCCCTGGCTCCAGCATCGGCTCCCCAAACCGTGTCATCTGCGTAAGTCCAGCCCTGCCCCTCACCCAGGGCCCCAGGGGCAGTGACAGCAGCTTCCAGTGCTGCTCTTCAGTGGGACAAGCCCAGAATTTGGGGCTGGAATGGACCAGTGCCCTTGTCCCAGCAGCACCGTGCCACCAGTGCCATGGCACGGCTCAGGAGCGCTCCGAGGGGCACAGTCCTGCCCTCCCAGCTCCTCTGCCCTCCCTCTGCTGCCTCTCAGGCCTCTCCTCTTACCTGTCCCTGCTGCTGGGGTGACAGTGAGCTCCGTCTGCCCCGTGCTGGCTCCACACTGTGCGCTCCAGCCTGCCTTCCCTTCTCTCCTCCTCTTCCTTTCCGTCTCTCTGTCTCTGTCTCTCCCTCTCCCTAGGCCAAAGTGGATAATGAGATCCTTAATTACAAAGACCTGGCAGCTCTTCCCAAGATTAAAGCCATCTATGAAGTGCAGCGTCCTGACCTCATTTCCTACGAGCCCTATCACAGATACACGTCGGATGAGACGCTGGAGAGATATAGCTATGGGGAGGTATTGAAATCCAGAAATCCCCTGCTGGGATGTGCAGCAGTGGGCCCCAGTTTGGGGGAGAACTGTCTGGGGCTTTGTTCATGCCAGTGGGAATAGTGCAGGGAGGCAGGAGTGGGGCAGGACCTCTCCCAGAGGTGTGGGGAAGGTCTGTGATGGAGGTAAAGTGCTGCTGCTGTAGAGTCAGAAAGGTACCAGTGAGCCCAGGACACGTGCAGGGACAGACAGCGCTGTGTGAGAGGAGTGATGGGCAGGGAATTCACCCCTCACAGCCCTGAGCCTGGCTCCTGGCAGACAGTCCTGCAGCCCAGCCAGCACAGCACCTCTGGAGCACCTCTGGAGCACCTCTGGAGCACCTCTGGAGCAGGGCTGCCCTGCTGGGTGCTGGCCCTGCAGCCAGGGAAGGGGCTGGGGCAGGGCATTTCTGCAGGGCTGTGATGGGGGGATGCTGAGACACTGGACTGTCCTGCCTGGCCAGCTGGGGCTGCTGGCTGAGCTCAGGGAGCCCATGGAAGGAGAGCAGCTCACACAGCTGGGGCACCTGAAGCGGTGCTGGGAGAGGATTTGGCAGCAGCATCTCTTACATCCCTATCCCCAGGGTTTGGCACAAGCCTGGTGTCGCACAGCCCGTCCAGGATGGTGCAGGCAGCGTGACCTCTGTGCCTCCCCTCTCCACAGAGGTCTCTGAGAGGTGACAGCTCTGCTGATCCCTCCTGCCAGTTCCTCTCCTGGCCAGGGGCTTCCTGCCCAGCGTCCTGCCCCAGTTCAGCTCTGGCTGTGCCACCAGTGCCCCTCACTGCTGAGAACGAGCTGCTGTGGGACCCCGGTCTGTCACTGCTCCTCTTAACCCTGTGCTGTCTCTCTCTCTGTCTCTTTTTCCCTCCTCACTTTGCCTCCTGCTGCCTCCAGTCCCTGGGGACCCTCTCCCCATACTCACAGGTAATGTCCCTGTGGGCACTGGGGGTCTGTCACCTCCTGCTGCCACAGGCTGTCCCTCTGCCAGGGGCTCTGCTGATGGTCCCTCCGGGCTGCCCCAGGGTGTGGGGAGATGGGATGTGTGTCCTTCAGTGCCCAGAGAGAGCGGAATGGCCCCAGGGTGCAGCTTCTGCCCCGTGGAGGGAGACACCAGTAACTGGGGACGATCTCCAGGCACAAAACTTCTGCCCGGACACTGTCACCTGGTCCCAAACCTGTGCCTTGGCAGGGGGGAGGCAGGGCGGGCCGGGGACCCCTCCAGCCCCAGGGGACACAGCCCCTGGCCAGTGTCACACGCAGAGCACCTCCCGGGCTGCCCCAGGCAGGGGACCCCCATCCGAGGGACACCTCCTGCCAGCTCTAACCCCGCTCTCTCCACGCCTTCCTCGCCCCCAGGACATCTACGAGAGCTTTGACACGCGGCAGAGAAGAGCCTCCAGCCCTGGCTACATCGACTCCCCCACCTACAGCCGCCAGGGCATGTCCCCCACCATCCCCAGGTCCCCACACCATTTCTACCGCTCAGGTGAGGATTTCAGCTGCAACCCCAGCCTGAGCTGAGCTCAAGTGGAGAGAGGATCACAAAAATATCTCTGGGATTTCTGTCGTTCCTCACCTGGCAAGCAGCAGGAGGCCTGGGGTGGCCCACGGTGGGCGCAGTGCCCAGCTCTGCACGTCCTCTGCCTCTCCAAACTCTTGCGAGCTGCAAGCAGAGGCCGAGGGGGACTCAGGCACGAGCTGAGGCTCCCAGAGGATGGGGTGGGAGGCAGGTGACCTCCAGCTCTGGTGAAGACCCCTGAGCTGCGCTGGTGGCTGTGGCAGGGGTGCGCAGGGAGCTCCTCGCACGCGGGCATGCAGCACACCCCGGAGCATGGCAGGGGAGCAGGGCCAGTGCCATGGCAGGGGAGCAGGGCCAGTGCCATGGCAGGGGAGCAGGGCCAGTGCCATGGCAGGGGAGCAGCGCCTGGGCTGTCTCCTGTGCTCTGGAGCTGTGGAGGAAGGACTGGAACGCTCTGAGCTCACTGAGAGCCCCGCTGCACCGCCAAGGGCTCATCACCGCCTGCTCTGAGCACGCTGGGCTGTCCCGGCAGGGCTGCCCGGAGGTTCCTCCGCATCCCGGCCGCTCCGGAGATGCTGGAAATCTCCCCCCGCTCCATCACTGCCTCTCCCGGAGCGCAGCCCTGCGCACGTCCCCGTCACCCCCCGCCCCTCACACAGCCCCTGCCGTTCTAACACCGCTGCATTTAACACCCATTTTCTTCTGCCTCTTGTTCTCTCTCTCGGTCACTCACGGCTGCTTCTGCTCGGCCCCGCGTAGGCACCGAGAGCGGGCGCAGCTCCCCCTACTATAGCCAGTTAGATGTGAGGTCCTCCACTCCAACCTCATACCAAGCGCCCAAGCATTTCCACATCCCAGGTAGGCTCCGGAGCCCCCCGCTGCCCGGGGAGCGCCGTGTCCGTGGCATGCCCGCATGTGCCGTCCCCGCTGTGTTGCATGCCTCGCTCCGCCGCCTGCCTAGAGCCAGCTGGCAGCAGGATCTACCCCTGGTAGAGGCCATCCATAAACAGGACCTACGGCTTGAACCCTCCTCCTTGTCCCCCTTGTCACCACCCGGAGCTCCCAGAGGCGCCCGGAGTCTGCTTGATCCTTGCAACATCCCTCTTCTTCCTCTTCCCTTCCCTCCCTCCACTCTCCACACGAGGATGAGTCCCCTGGTGAGAGCCTGTCCCCAGGATCAGCAGCCGGAGCGGGTGTGCCAGAGGAGTTTCCACACCCATCCGCTACAGATGACTATTTTATACCCCCCTAGGGCCCGCCGCTCCCTCCCCCCAGAGTCTTCTGGGCTTGCCAGATGCCTGCTCCCCTTCTGCAGGGATTGCAGGGGGCCACCAGGTAAGGGCCACCACCCGCTCCCGGCCACGCAGAGCCCACGGGGACGGGGACGGAGCGGGCAGGACGGGAGAGTGGGTTGGGAAGCAGGCAGAGCTGCCCATCACCCCTCGCCGGGGTCACAACCCCGCACCGTCCACTCGGCTCTTGGCATCTCCCCGTGCCCCCAAAAGCGTGGCACCCTCGCCCGGAGCATCGCTGATGCTCGGAGGACGCCCGGAGGCTCCCCCAGCTCCTCTCCCATCCCATCCCAGCCCTGCCCTGCCCTCCCGCTGCCGCTCGGTGGTTTATGGATGGCCCCCTCCCTGCTCCGCCTGCTCCAGCTCGCTTTTCCCTCCCGACTCGCTCTTTTCTCTCTCTGCTGCGGAAAGAGGCTTTGGCTGCTCTTGGCTCTCCGCAGGTAGCTCGCAGGCGGCTCTCGCAGGTGCCGGCAGCCCGAGAAGGGCCTGGTGCCCGCCTGGCAGGCTGTGCCCGGCGGTCAGGCTGTGCCCGGCTGTGGCAGGCTGTGCCCGGCGGTCAGGCTGTGCCAGGCCGTCAGGCTGTGCCCGGCGGTCAGGCTGTGCCCGGCTGTGGCAGGCTGTGCCCGGCGGTCAGGCTGTGCCCGGCGGTCAGGCTGTGCCCGCCTGGCAGGCTGTGCCCGTCGCCCCGTGCATGCTGTGGGCGCTCACTGCATGTCCTGTCACGGCCTGGGCAGCCAGGACCGTGCTCCTGTGCCCGTGCCGCCGGCCCGGAGCCCTGCCGGGCCACCCGAGAGCCCGGAGGCGCTTGTGTGATGGAAACGTGGCCTGGGGCTCCTGCAGGAGCCGTGTCCTGTGCGCTCGCAGCACGCCCACACTGACCTCCCTTTCCCCCTTCTTCCCTTTCTCTCTCTCTTCTCCCACCAGCTGCTGGCGAGAGCAACATCTACAGGAAGCCTCCCATCTATAAGCGCCACGGTAGGTGTGGCTGCTGTGTCCCTGTCCCCGTGTCACCCCGGGGAGTTCAGGGGCTGCCCGGGAGATGGGGCTGGCATCAAGGTTTGGGTGCTGGGCTTTGGCGGGATGCTCTGGGCAGCAGGGTGGGTGCAGTGGGGACAAGTGTGACTTGGGACCCTGTCCCTGTTGTGAGAGAAGGAGCAAAGGCTGGCAGTGACACCAGGGATAGCTGTGGAACCGGGAGCAGGGGAGTCAGAGCAGCCTCGGACAAGGGATGAAAAAAGCAATTTGCAGTTTCACATGCAGCCCTGGAGAAAAATCCCAGCCCACCCTGGGGTGGCGGTTCTAGCGTGAAACTTCGGGGTGTTGCAGCTTGGGGACGGTGTGTCAGTGTTTGTTTGGTGGCTTTCAGTGTTTGTTTGGTGGCTCTCAGCGGAACTGCCTTGCACTGTCCCCTCTTGCTTCTGCTCCCGGAGGGACAGCAGCTCCCCCTGAGCAGTAACTGTGTCTCCTCTCTCTCCCCGGGCTCTCCCCTCCCTCCTGCCCAATTCCCACCGCCTGCTGCTGCCTGCTCCTGCTGCTGTAAGTACCTGCTGGGTACCCAGAGGTGGTGGGATGGCTCTGCCACCTCCTGTCCCTGCTGCTCCTTCCCCTGCGCCTCCCCTGGCCTCTGGTGCAGCAGAGCTCCCCCCTGGGCTCCCCCGTGTGCTGTTGAGGCTCTGGCCCCAGCCTGAGCACTCTGTGTGTCCCTGCCATGAGGACCAAGCCCTGCCAGAGCCCTCTGCTCCCCCCACCTTTCCCTGGCAGAACCCAGAGAGCCCCGTCCCTGCTGGCTCTGAGCCTTCCTCCGTCCCTCTCTCACCTCCTGGGGACAGGGCAGCGCGGGGAGCTCGGTGGCACTGCTGGCACTGGGATGAGCACGGTGCAGGAGCCAGAACTTGTGGCACCGTGGGCTCTCAGCCATTTGGGTCCTTCCCAGCCCCATCAGTGACATCCCCTGCTTGTCACTGTCCCCACCGTCTGCCTCAGCACCCCTGAGGAGGTGTCAGCAGTGGGAAAACTGATTATTCCCAGCTCTGCTCCGTGCTGTCCCAGACACAAATCCCTGGGGAGGGAAGAGGATTTGCCTTCATTTGGGGTGGATCTCTGCAGATCCTCACCTTGGCTCTGCCCGCTCCTTTTGCAGACAACCCCTCTGCAGCCACGAAAAGCAAAACCAGCGAGGACATCGCGCAGTCCTCCAAGTACAGCCCTGCCTACTCCCCCGATCCCTACTACCACTCCGAGTCGGAATACTGGTCCTTCCAAGGCTCTCCCAAAGGTAACAAATTCCCCTTGGGCTGGGAGAAAGGGAAACACATTCCTGACTCCAAATTTTCTGGGAGGAAACCTCGTTTTGAGCTGGGTCTGGACAGAAAAGTGGGGTTGGGCTGAGATACCTGCCATGGTGACCCCAAAACCCAAGGAGTCTCTGGGAGCCAACTGTCCCCATGTGGTTGGGGACATCCTCCTCCCTGCCTGCCCCCACTTCTGTCCCCACCTGACCCCTGGTGTCTCCTTGCAGCTCCCCGGGCCCGGAGGTTCTCGTCAGGGGGTGAGGAGGACGGGTACAACCGGGGCATGCACAAGGTGAGTGCCAGCCCTGCCGGGCACAGAGCCAGCACCAAACCGTCCCCAGCTCAGCCCAGCTCTGCCACCCGAGGTGCCACCACCATCCCTGCTCCTGCCATCTGTCCCCTCCTGGCCACCCCCACATGGGCTCTCAAGGAGGGGTCGAGACACCCCCGCCCCAGCACCTCATCCTCAGGAGGTTCCAGGGGATGCTGAGCCCTTCCACGATGTGCCAGAGAGGGCTGGGCAGGGAAAGGAAGAGTGCAAAGTGGCTTTTTCCCCGCTGCCAGATCCAGAGTGGCATCGGGAGGTTGATCCTGAGGGAGGAGATGAAGGCTCGGTCCAACTCCTACGCAGACCCCTGGACACCCCCTCGCAGCTCGGCCAGCAGCAGAGAGGCGCTGCACACAGCGGGCTACGAGGGCTCCCTCAATGGCTGTAAGGCTGTCCCTGCCCGTCCCCCTGTCCCCCTGTCCCTCTGTCCCAGCCCCTCGGGAAGTCTGAGGGGTGGAGAGGGAAGAAAGGGATGAGGAAAGGGATGATGAGAGGTGCTGGCCATGGAGCCAGGCTCAGGAGGGTCTTTTCCTCTCTGGAAGGCTCCATCCATTCCCTGTGCCCCAGCTGGGGTGGGGCATTGCCCAGTGGTGTCTGGGCAGCCTGGGAGTGCCTCGTGGGACGGCTGAAGGATCCCTTGGGGATGTGGCAGCACAGCCAAGATCACAGCCAGGGTTGCTGTGACCTGTCCTGGACTGGCACCTCTGGGAGTTCCTGGCACCCCAGGGCTGCCTCGCTTGTGCTGCTCCTGTCACAGAGCCCCCAGGGCACCCAGCCCTGCCCTTGGGGCACGGGGGGGACACTGCAGAGCCTGGCAGCACAGATGGCCCTGTCCAGTCCATGCTCTCCTTCCTCACATCTGCCCTCACGGAGCTGTTTGGGGATGCTCAGGGAGCCCCTCAGCCCCGTGGGAGCTCCTGGGAGCCCCAGGGAGGATCTGTGGGGCTGGGAATGGGCAGCTCTGCATGGCATGGGGTGCTTGGCCCTCCCTGACAGCCGGCTCTGCTCTCCTTGCAGCTCCCCGAAGCCACTACCTGGCCGACAGCGGTGAGTGCCTGACCTGAGCCCTGCCCAGCCCGAGCTGGAGGAGGTGCTGGGACCAGGGAGGGAACAAGGGAAGCAAAGAGGGAGCCCTGGCAAGCCTGGGTTAGGATAGAGCTGAAGCAGGGCAGGGAGGACAAGTGGGGGAAGCTGAGAGAGGAGAATGTGTTGCTCTGAAGGGTGAGGTGGTTGGGCTGCCACAGGAAAGGGATTTTGGGGAGAGGAACATCAGCACGGGAGGAAGGCAGCCTGGAAATGAGCTGGAGCTGGAAGGAGGCAGAGCTGGGAGCACAGAGGCAGAGGGTGGCCCGGTGGGGGCTGTCCTGGGGGGTGTGAGGAATGGGAATGGGTCTTCCCTGATGCCCCTTGGTGGATTCTTTGCAGATCCCCTCATTTCTAAGTCGGCCTCCCTTCCTGCCTACAGGAGGAATGGGCTGCACAGGGTGAGTGCCTCCTGCTGCTGCCAGGCATTCCCCATCCTCCCAACCATTCCCATTTCTCCCAGGCATTCCCATTTCTCCCAGGCTGCTCCAAGCCCCCAGAGCTCCCTTTCCATCTCTGGGATGTTCTCTTTTCCCCTTCTCTGCACCCCTGCTGCCACTGCTGTCCTGTGCCAATCCAAAATGACCCTTGTTGGGATCCAAAGTGCCCTGTCCAGGCAGTGCCTGCCCTGTAACTCCCATGGGGTGATTTCCAGAGGGATGCTGGTGCTGCGTTCCAGCAGAAGAGCTTTGCTTTATATCCTGGGCTCAGGATTGTTTGGGATCAGGAGTTCTGCTCCTGTCTCCATGTGAACTCTTATCCTGGGTGGGGAACCTCGGTGTCCTCCCTTGGGGACGTGAGAGGCGTCACCTGGGGTGCCTGGGGGAGCCTCCCTCTCACTGCCCCCTCTGTCCACCCCTCCTGCAGCCTCCCAGCGCGGAGCTTTTCCACTACGACAGCACCAACGCCGTCAACTGGGGGATGCGAGGTGAGGGGGGCACGAGGCTGGGGACCCTGCAGGTGCCCTGGGGGAGATGCTGGGGGGCTGCCAACCCCCCCTGCAGACAGGCAGGGGGGCTGGAGGGAGAATGGGGGGATATGGGCAGCACTGGGGGGAGGGTGGTGACAGCAGAGGGGTCGGGGTGGCTCAGGCTGGCTTTTTTCTCTCCCCACAGAGTACAAGGTAAGACCCTTCTGCTGCAAGGAGCGGCCACCAGGCAGAGGTGGGAGTCCCAGGGATGTGTCCATGTGTCCCCAGGCTCTCCAGAGGGAAGAACTTTGTTCCCCTCCATCCTCCACCTGACAGCCCCATCCCAGGACTGTGGGGCTCAGAGCAGAGTCCTTCCCCTCCTGCCAGGTCCCAGGTGCTTGGGACAATGCTTGCTGAGCAGAATTGTCCCCGGGTGAGGGACAGAGCAGGGGTTTGTGCTGCTGGTTTCCTGCTCATGCTCATGCCTGGGTCATTCCTGGTTTTGCAGAGTGAGCAGGTTATTCCAGAGCCACCGTGGAGGTTCTGGGTGGATCAGAGCCACCCTGAGAGCAATTCCCACCTCTCCTTGTCCCATCCAAGCCCTAGAGTCAGCTGTGCCACCCAAACCCTTGCCCTCATTCCCAAGTGTGCCCCGAGTGTCTCATGGCTGCCCCACGTGTCCCTGTCCCCGTGCAGATCTACCCCTACGAGCTGCTCCTGGTGAAGACCAGGGGGAGGAACCAGCTGCCCAAAGATGTGGACAGGACTCGGTTAGAGGTGAGAAGAGCTTTTTTCACTGAGGACTATCAGGGCACAGAGGGACCCGATGCCACGGGGTGACCCCGGCATGCAGCGTGTGGGGCTCGTGGCTGTGTGAGGAGCATCCCCACATCTGCTCAGGAGCACACGAGGGTCAGGGCACTGTCCCAGTGCTCCTGCTGCCCCCCTGGCCGGGCAGAGCTGTCCCCTGTGCCTTTGGCAGGGGCAGCAGGGAGGCAGTGCTCCCCTTTCCCGAGGGGGCTCCTGTCACCCCATTGTCCCAGTGGGCAGGGGATGCCCTCAGCCCCTCTGCTCAGCCATGGAAGTTGCCCAGCTCTGGCCCAGCCTCCCATTTCTCCCCAGAGACACCTGTCCCAGGAGGAATTCTACCAGATCTTTGGGATGACCATGGCCGAGTTCGACCGCCTGGCGCTGTGGAAGAGGAACGAGCTGAAGAAGCAGGCCCGGCTGTTTTAAATGCAGTGCACTATAAATATATACATACATATAAATATATACATAGAGAGATCTCTATATTGCAGCTCTGTATGATTCTCGGGGCTGTACAGGGCACAGGGGCCCTCTCTGCACCCCTGAGAGTGAATTGGAGTCTTGCAGATCGTTTGATGCTCTGTGTTTCCTTTTCCAACCTGATTTCTGTATCCATGCCTGGCTTCTCCCAGACTCTGCTGCCCCTCAGGGACACGAGGGGAGGATTTTCCTGCTGCAGAGAGAAGGGGTTTGGGATGGGGGTGTCCCATCCCCTTCTGCTCAGCTGGGCTGTGGAGTAGAGGTGGAAAAGGCCCTGGGCACAAGGGCAGGAAAGTGGGATCTCACTCCGGGATCCTTAAATCCTTCCCTGCCTTGACACGGCCAGGACTGGGGGCACTTCAGGATCTGAGATGCAGAGCTTGGGGCAGGGGATAGGAGCTGTGGGGACCCCAGGGGGCCAAGCTGATCCCCTGAGTCCCAGTCCCTCCTGGGCTGGTGGCTTTCCCTGCAAAGCCTGGCTTGCTCCAGAGCCAGTTTCTCCTCCCAAGGTGCCAGAATGGCCACTTTCCATCCCCAAACCCAGCCCTTCCCAAGTGGAACAGCCAAAGCCACCTCCTGCCTTGTGCAGTTTCTTGCCGCTCTTCAGGTTTGTCCAGGGCTGAGTATTCCAGGATATTCCAGCTGGGAGCTGGGGGAAGGCCAGAGGAGAGGGGTGGGAAATGCAGGTCCCACGACCTGCTGGACGTCTCCTGGATTTTCCTGAATTCCCCATCACAGCTGCCTGAGTCCCTGATGATTCCCTCTGGGAATGAAGGCAATTCCCTCCACTGCAAACTCTACGTATTTCTATCCCAAACTCTATGGGATAACTTGGTTTTGGCTTATTTTTTTCATAAAACAAATAAGGTTGTTTCTACACACAAACATCTTCCCTGGTGTCTGTGCTGCTCTGCTCTCCTATTTGCTCATCCTGCAGGATTTTCAGGCACAACCAGGATTGAACAGTCCCAAAACCAGGCCAGGAAATGTGGGGTACAGCAGGAGCTGGGTCAGCAGAGTTCCTGTGAGGGGACAGAGCAGGTTTTACCTTCACTGTGCCATGGGCCACATTCTGGTCCCCTCTGAAACCCTCCTGTCCCTCTGTCCACACGGAGTGGGTCAGTGCCCTCCCTGCCACCCAGAGCTGCTCACTTTGCTGCCCAAAAATCCACCAGCAGGTTCCCCTTGCAGGGGTTTGCCAGAGTTCCAGGGGCTCAGGGCAGGAGTTCTCCCACCAGCAGCAGCTCTGGAGCTTTGTGCCAGCAAGGAAAGGGCTGGGGATTGAGGTGGAGATGGCAACATCGCCCTGGGAATTGCTCGTCTGCTTTAGTGCAGCAGTAAATGAGCCAAGTTGATTTATAATTACTTTCCTCGTACAAAATGGAGCTCTCTAAATCAAACTCAACTGTTTGTGGCTGTAGAAATCTTCTCTCTCCGGCAGCAGTTCCAGTGATAAAGCCTGGGGGATGTTATTAATAATAACACATCAGCAGCATCATTTCCAAAGCATTTTATGGACAGCAACTCTTCTCCACAAGGACTTGCAAAGGTGGGGAAACTGAGGCAGGGCTTGGTTTTTGGTTTTTTTTCAGAGCCAGGGCAGCGTCTCCAGCTCCATGCTGAGGCAGCAGACACTCCAAGGGTCCCTGCTGGTGTCCCACTGCCCTGGGGAGGGCTGCAGGGACACCCCAGGCATCACCACCTGCCCTGGAATCTGCAATTCCCAAAGCAGCCTGGCAGTGTGGGCAGCCCTGGACTGAGATTCCTGCCCCAAGCACAGCCCCAAAGGTGACCCCAAGCTGTGGAAGAAAACTGGGGCTCAATCCAGAGCCAAAACCACCAAAAACCAAACACCAAACCATGCGGGAGCTGGGCATGAGGGGGTCCTGGGCTGAAATTGCCCCAAGAGGGGGAATTTCTCCAGGCCAGTTGCTAATTCCCGTCTGATATTTCAAGTGATAATAATTGGGTATGTGTGAAACCTCATCACATTTCTGTCCCAAGCTGCTGTCCCCACAGGGCTCAGCTGGAGCCCACCTTGTCCTGGGAGTGCCAGGAGCCTCTGTCCCTGCTGCCACACCTGGGACACTGTCCCACAAATGTCCCACAAATGTCCCACAAATGTCCCACAGATGTCCCACAGATGTCCCAAGCCCAGGTCTCCCTGGAGGAGGGACAACACCAGGGAGACACCGGGCACAGGAGGGACACCGGGAGGGAGAGGACATGGAGGGGATCTTGGGGAGGGGAAAACAAGGAGAGAGGGGTCAGGGGGTGCTGTCCTTGCTGCTGGGTGGGGGAATTCGGGATTTTCTCCCTAAACCGAAGTTGCCCAACCCAGGCAGGTGGAGGTGATGCACTCAAGACCGTCACCCGTCACAAGGGGGTCTCTGGGTGCCAGGGGATGCAGGATGGGGGATGCAGGGGTGCCGGGGGATGCAGGATAGGGTTTGCAGGGTGCCGGGGGATGCAGGATG